GGGCATGTGCCCTGATCGGGAATCGAACCCCGATCGCCTGGATCCTGGGTCGACGCTAAGCCGCTGAGCCATGCCCGGCCGGGCCCGAAGAGCATTTTTAATCAGGTCCCCCCCCTTCGCCCTGGATACAGGAGAGCCGAGTGAGCCTAAATAGCGGCACCGTGGGCGGGAACTGTGGCCCTGACTTGGCGTCTGTGGACTTGGGTTTACACCACTTTAAATGTTAGTCAGTAATAACCAGGCCAACAAGCTGTGTTTAAAATAAAAACCCAGCACGTCAAACTCATGGTTTCTGTTTCCAGTCGTAGTCACAGGTGAGAATGCTGAGGTTTCATTCTATTATTATTATTAAAAGGTCCCATGAAATTGTTGTTACTTTTTAATGGTCACAAAACCAGAAACTGTCACAGAGGCTCAGTGAGGAATTGGTCCTATAAAACCGACAGGCCGTGGCGGGATCCTCTCAGCGTCGCCCTGACCGTGTTCCGCACCCCGACCCCATCGGCCACGTCACTGTTCACGGGAAGCCGTGACCGCGGAGGACCCCGCTGACGCCTCAGTGGGGGTGTCCACACCCACTTGTGCGGTCGTTTCTCGGTGCCTNCTCAGCGTCGCCCTGACCGTGTTCCGCACCCCGACCCCATCGGCCACGTCACTGTTCACGGGAAGCCGTGACCGCGGAGGACCCCGCTGACGCCTCAGTGGGGGTGTCCACACCCACTTGTGCGGTCATTTGTGATTACAGCGGGGCTTCTGTTAGCTGCGTGAAAGGAGATCAACTTCCCTCGAACGTCACGCAGGTCCTGTGAGTTGTCAAAACAGCCTTTCCAAATGGTACGAGCTTATGGGTCTTAATTAATAATTCAGATTTTAAAGCTGTTTAGTAGCACATAGAACAGACAGGGTGTGATTTTGCCTCATTTGAAGGAGGGGCCGTCTCCCGTGAACGCGCTTTGAACGGGCCTATTTTAAGGATCCGACCTGATTTTCAGCGTCCCCCCTGCTGGCTGGAAACAGTACAGTTCGGCTCCCGCCGAGGCGAGGGTCCCTCAGCTAGGCGGCCGCAGGGGCATCCGGTGACATCTCCTTTGCTCTTCGAGACCTTTAAGGGCTCTGGATTTTTCTCCTATGATCAGAAGCCAGAGGGAGCCGCCAGTTTCTATTCGTGTCCCACCCGCTTCCCCTTAAGATAATACAGCTCAGTGTGAATTTGTTCCCCTGGAGGGTCTCAAAACTACCACGCTTGGAAAAACTCCCCTGGGCCGCGAAGGTGACCGCCGGGCCGCCCTTGAGCTCGGGCGGGTCCGCTGTGCCGGCTGCTGCGAACGACCCGTGGCCGAGGTCGCTCTCGGGCCGCTCTGATGACCGGGGCGTCCCCAGCCCTGCGGTTTTATTGCTGGTGCTGGTGGCAGCACTTGGCAGGAGCGGAGGCACAAGTTCGGTCATGAAGGCTCCGCTCCAGCGACCAGCAGGAGACGCCTGCCGACGGCCCAGAGTCGCCGGGCCATAGGCTCTCTCCCGGAGCCACCAGGAGGCCGGGGAGGGCAGGGGCCCCGCAGTGCACTTTGCGTTGGGTCCAAGCAGCGCTGCGGGTTGCAACGAACAGCCAGTCGTAAGGAGAAACCGTTTCCGCAGCCGCCACCTGGGGGAATGAATCTCAGTCTCATCCAAGGAGGAAAATAGCGTTTGCTGCCAAAGCCCGAGGATCACCGTCGGAAGATGTGCCAACGCGCCCCCAGCCTTCTACGCCCTCCCGATGCCGCCCTCGCCAAGGCCGCACCGCCCTCCGCAAAGCCGCCTGCCTCAGCTCCGTCGCCGCCTCAGAGGCGGTGGACCCGCCCCGGCCCGCAGCTCATAAGCGCAGGACGCAGAATTTAATTCCGGGCACTGCGGCTCCAGGGGGCGTCTGCTGAACCACCAGACGAGACCCCCGGCTCTTCACGAGAGCGCCACCCAAGACGCACCCCGGAGCGGCCCCCGCGCTGCCGACGGGGCTCGTTTCCTCCCGTCCCGCGCCTTTGACAGGAGAGGCACCGCCAGGCGTGGCCGTCCCCAAGCGCCCGGCTCCGTCCCCGCCCGGCAGGTCCTCAGGATCATCTCCATCCTGCTCAGAGCGAGTGTTCCTGCCCCTCGGGGCCACTCCTAGGGCTCCGCACGCCACGTGCCCCAGACCTCACATCCCCGAAGTGACAGAGCCGGGATCTAAAGACTCGGGTCATTTAACTCCGTATTTCTACCCTTTTTCCTTCATTTCACGCTGATTTCACATCTTGTATCTAGTCTCCTGCATTTCCCCCCTAACAGTAAATTCACAATTAACTTTTTTCTGAATAAAAAATTAAACAATTGAATTTAACTAATAACAACCCAGCATCCCTTGACTAATAAGCTGGGACGTATGTGGCATGTCTCTCATTAATAACACGTTCACCGCGGAAACGTCTCACCCCCAGGGCTCCCCGGGCGTTTCCCGTCCTACTGATCAGTTTGACAAGCCTACGGCCTGTGGTTAGAAGCCTGGGCCCCAGCGAGCCCGACGTCGGAAGCCCTGCTACCAGGGACTAGCAAATTCCTTGGTCTCTGCCTGCTTCTATCTGTCTGTCTGTAAAATGGGTTTGCACACTACCTGCCTGTTAGTTTGGTTCAACGCTATGAGAGTTTTAAGTACATACGCAATAAACATTAGCTATTACCTTTGGCAGAACACAGCTAAAAAAATTACTCAAAGTCTCCTTGGAGGCTCCACAAACTAAGATGGGCCATGAGCTACCTCTGGCCCCTGCTTGCTTTTGTAAATAAAGTTTTATTGGAACATGGCCACGCCCACTAGTTCCTGTGCGGTTGCTCTGGTCCTGTGACAGCGGAGACCTGGGCCTGCCAATCAAACGTCTGCACCCGGGCTCTGCACAGAACAGTTTTCTGACCCGCTCGGCCCCTGCCCCTGAGGGCTGACCCTCGGTGACGCCCACGCGACGGGTGCAGGACCCGGCCGAGGGGGCCTGAGAGCAGAGACCAGGGTTCCCTCCCGGGCGCCCTGGAGTGTGAGCCCCCGGGAGTCGGAGGCACTCGAGGGGGGCGCGAGGGGAAAGCGGAGAGAGCCCAGTTTCGACAGCTCTCATCCCTGGATACGAATGAAACTTCTTTTATTTGAAAAACTGTGCTGCTTCCACAGACACTTTTTTATTAAAGGTGTTTATGAGACTCCGCAGTCCCTCCCACATAAACCAGGCGCCCGCCGGCCGCTGCGCAGGCCGGAGCGGTGGCTCCTCGGGAGGAGATTTACCTGCGTCGCAGGAGCAGAGGGGAAATAAACTCGCTGATTTCATTCCTTTCTGCTCAATGAAATCCTTATTTTATCGCTAAGCGCTGACACCTCCAGACCTCAGCTCCTCTCTCGCCCCCCGAGAGCGAGCGGCGCGGGGAAGCCTCGGCCCCGACACCTGGAGATCGCGTCCCAGTTTATTGGAACCTCAGTCACGGCCACGGCGAGTCGGGAGATAAAGGAACTTCGCCCGCACGGCGCATAAAGGAGGTGGGGAAATAGCCTCTTATTTTTTTTCGTCTCCTTTCAAGATATTAAACTTTATCAATCAGAATCTACAGCTCTGGGCGAACATGCCAACACCTCAGTCACGGGACTGCTTTTCCGGGACCACCCGCGGGAGGTACTGGGATGAGGCTGACGCGGGAAATGCAGACGGGGGACACAGAGCCTCGTCCTTCAGGATAACGGGGCGCGGCGGGGCGGACTCGACGGTGCCGCTCCCTCCGGCTCCGGCTGCGGTCCTGCGTCGGTCCTACGGTCGCCTTTGAAGCCTCCGTGTCCCACGTCTTCCCAGGGACAGAGCCGGGGCCTGGGCAGGGCTGCCCTCCGGGCGCCTGTCTTCAGTCGGAAGGAGGGCTTTCTGCAGGACGGGCCTCACCTGGGGTCCAGCCTCGGGGGAGGGGGGGGACGGATGCGAGAGCCTGGCCGCCTCGGGGACCGGGACGCTGGAGACGAGGGAGGGAAGCATCCAGAAGTGAGGGGGTCGAGGAGGGTGCCGGCCCTACTCTCAGACGAGCACTGAGAACTTGTGGGGGGACAGCAGGCGAGCGGCTGCCGGGGGAGCCCCGTTTTCACCCGAAAGCCGGGCGGCGATTGAAGCAACACCGAGAGGAGTCGGCGCAGAGCAAGGCGCGAGGGTGTCGGGGTTCGGCGGCCGCCCTGTGGTCTCGGGTCCAGGGAAGGGTCTCAGCATTGCTGGGGGGTGGCGGGGGGGCCTCAAAAGCGGGAACAAGTGGAGTCGTGTGGCTGAGGGTTCGGGCAGCGAGTGAGCGTGGGTGCTCCAGGCTCCCGGTACCTCTGGAGAGCACAGGGAGGGCCCGGCGCACGGTGCTGTCCAGGCAAAGTCGGGGCAGGGACGTGTGTCGTGGGGGCTTGCGGGGGGCCTTCCGTCTGCTAGAAGGGTGTGGAGCTGAGGGGCGGGTTTTACTCAGAGCAGCAGGGACTCGGACGCCTCCTCCTGTAGCTGCAGAAACAGGTGGAGGCTGAGGGCAGGTGAGGGACACGG